GATGGACTTTGAGGGCATTATGCTAAGTGAAATAAGTAAGAGAGAGAAAGACAAATAGTGTGATCTCACTTACATGTGGAATCTAAAGAACCCTGAATTCATAGAAACAGAGTAGAGTGGTGGTTAGCAGAGGCTGGGGGATGGCGGAAATGGGGAGATATTGGTCAAATGGTACAAACTTCCATTTATAAGATAAATAAGTTCTGGGGATCTAATGTACAGCATGGTGATTATAGTTAAGAATACTGCATAATATACTTGAAAATTGCTAAGAGAGTAGATCTAAAATGTTTTCACCACAAAAAGAAACGGTAATTATGTGAGGTGATGGAGGTGTTAACTAACATTACTGTGGTAATCATTTCACAATATATAAATGTATCAGCTCAACACGTTGTACACCTTAAACTTACACAATGTTATATGTCAATTATATTTCAATAGAGGTAAAAAAAAGTGTAAAATATGATGTACTTCTCTGTAGTTTGGAAGGCACACAGGATAGTATTGAAGATGCTAAGGGTAGAGAGAAATATGAGAAGGCTGTGTTGGTAAAAATTTAAAGAAAAACAAGTAATGTAAATTTTTAAACAAATTGTCATTTTTAGGTAATAGAAATAGATTTACTTATTATGTATTATTTTTTAATGAAATGACATTTATTGGAGAGGCACCAATGTAATGTGCGTGTCTGTGATATTTACTTAATGTGTTGACAGCGTCAGGGAATAACGGTGTTAATTCTCTTTTCCTTCATGTTGTTGAGCTGAGATCCCTAGATTCCTGAGATTAGACCGTGACCTATATGTAATCAGTCAATTAACTTGTTTAGCTCTTTGTCTTTAGGTACAAGTAGAATGAAGGGTGACTGTGAGAATGTTATGGCAGAGGATTTAAAGTGGATTGGAGGAGACCTGGGTAATAGTCCTGTGGGTGAGGCAGGCAATTTATGCAACCTCTCTCAGCCTCAGTTGACTTAATTCTCAAATGAGGATTTACTTTCTGCATGCCTCATAGCATTGTTGTGATGATCCAAAATGAGAGCTCAAGGCAGCCACATACAGACTCCCTACTCAGCTAGAACCCAGGGCAGTTGGAGAGTGGGGAAGGCAAGGAGTTTTCTGAGCAGCTAAGATGGGGGTCTTAAATCTGCATAGATGTCCATGCCCATCCTCAGGTGAGTGCATGACCTCCACTTTGCACTTCTTCAGTCTTACTTTATGAAAGTGTTTTCTTTTTGGTTTCAGTCACAGTGAGGAAGGTGTCTGCATGGGAGGGTGTCCTGCCACTAGGAGGCGGGCACTGGGTAGAGGGAGATTGCCTACAGTGAGGTGCCTTGGTGTGGGCTGCTTGAGCCTGGGCAGTGTGGAGAGGATGTCCTCACAGGGCACTGGCCCGGAATGGGGTGCTAGAGCTAAGAGAGACAAATGATATTTTAGGGGAAGGATTATTTTATTGATGACATCACTAAGAGTTGCTGTGCCATGTGCTAATAAATGCTCTACAGATAGTGTCATTTTAAAATTATCTACAGATAATGCACCCCCTTATTACCTGCATCCTGAGGGGACAGCCTCTCCCATCCTCCTCCCTCTGGCCTGTGTTTGGTGTGCCTCCGGCGTGAATCCATACTGATATGAATAAATAAATGAAATACAAAGAGAAAGTTTGTGGAGCAATGAGATCTTTACACAGTACTCAAGTACTTCCCCACAAAAGAATTATTAGTTAAAAAGAGAAAAAGAGGTAACTTTGTGGCGGGGAAGTCCGGCACAAACCGTCCCAATCAAATGACCAAAGTGAACATCACCATAATTGAGATAAATCGAAATTGTGTGCCACCTGCTAAATGTGATGAGAACAAGGCGTCATTTCTATGACATTCCTGCCAGAGTTGCAGAACCTGAATCTAGTCACGAAGCAATGCATCAGGAAAACCCAAACTGAGAGACATTCTTCACAATAACTAACCCTGACGTCTCCAAAAAGTGTTATGGTCACAAAAGTTAAGGGAGACTTAGGAACTGTTTCAGATTTAAGGAGACTAAAGAGACACGACAATGCAATGGCACATGTGATTCTAAACTGGCTCCTTTCTCTATAACTGACATTATTGGGGCATTTGGCAAATTTTCTATGGGGCTTGAAGATTATTTCAAGTTATTGTATCAATGCTAATTTCTTTCCTTCTTTTCCCTTCATAATTTCTCTTTCTCACTCTCTCTCTCCCTCCCTCCCTCTCTCTCCCACCTTCCCTCACTATTTTTTTTGTGTTTGTGCGTGGCAGAAAAGGCAGTAAGAACATTCCAGACAAGAACAAAATCAATCAAAAAAGAAAGAGAGACATAACAATCAGCTGAGTTCTGGGAACTGGGAGCGTTCTCTTTTAGAGGTGGCAGAAGGAAGAGCAGTGGGACACAGGATGGAGAAGGAGGTAAGGCCAGGCAGCTAATTAGATTAGTCATTTTATTAGAATTTTATATGACACATTTTTATATATTGGCATTAAGCTACATGAGTGACTTAAATGATTAAATAAAATACTCCATAATATTCTATCACTTTTTAATAAAAATAATATCTGAATCAGTGTTAATTTCTTGATTTTGATGATTATGTTGTGGTTGTAGAGGAAAACATCTTTGTATGAAATATAAATTAAAAGTGTCAGAGTGATAGAGTGCCATGTTGGCAACCTACTGTCGTAGGTTCAGAAAAACATTTGTACTGTACCTGCAGCTTTGCTATAAGTTTGCTATTGCTTCAAAATAATAATTAACAGAAGAAAACTGTGGCTTAAAAAGTTATATAACCTGACCAAGGCCACATGGATAATAAGTGGCAAAAATTTCAAATTGCAACTCAGGTGTGTCTGATTCCTAAATCTACATCCTCCCCACCAACCACATGGCCCTGGACATCCCAGCTGCCTCCCCTAGACCCTTCAAAATCTACCCAAGAAGACGTCTGTCCTGTTCCTTCACCTGCAGAACAACTCTCCCTCCCCAAGCTGATTTCAGGTCCTCTTGATGGAGCTGCTCCCCCACCTACCCAGTTCTGGACTGGCCCTGGCTCTCCTATCCCGTGCCTGGCCCAACACCCACACTGGGGCATGTGGCAGGCAGCAGTAGGGCAGCTGAAAGCACTCAGCGCTCCCAATAGGCTCGACTGGCCTCCTGCTCCAAGAGTGGGTTCCATTACCGAGCTCCCACTCTCTCTGAGGATCTCAAGATTTTTCAAACCACTTGCAAGTGGTAAGCCTGGTGATTTTTTCTTGTCTTGATTCCCCATTGTTACCATCCCTACAGTTAGAGATCCCCTCCCAATCAAGTGGCTTGAGTAGGAAATCTCATCAAATCAGCTTCACATAGCATTCTACTACTTAAAGAAATCGCCATTGCAGGTTGTCAGATGTCACCCACAGCCAATGCCAGAAACTGCTGCTCTCCTGTGACCTTCCAGGCACTGTCCTGTCTCCCCACAGCTGAGCCTGCCAGGGCAGAGGAAAGGGGAACATGCAGTGGTTTTCCCTGTGACTCTGAACCATGGGCCCACCAACTCAGCTGCAGGCTCCAGAGCAGCAGCTGGGCGGCCTGGGGGGCTCAGTGGTGAGGCTTGTCCCACAACAGACAGTTTGTTCCACCTCGACCTGACTACCCTCAGCTTGAGCCAGGGCTGCTGCACTGCCTGGAACCACATGGACCCTTCCAAGAGCTAAAGAGGCTCCGGAGCCGGAATGGCCGCACGGAAGGAGTCACATGGAGACACTCCTTATGTCACTGATCTGTCTCTTTGCTCCTCCAGAAAGGAGTCCAGCCCTGGTATGTTCTCTCCTGCTGGTGGGCGTTTGGGGATGGTAATCCTGGGACTGAGAATGTGTCATCAGCCAGGACTGGGGGGTTGAGGCATGGGAGGGAGAGGGTTCCCTTTGCCACGTGCCCCCATTGGGTTCTGTAAGTGCTCTCATCCTTTGCTGTTTGGGAAGCTGTTGGGGGGAGAGTGGGGGACCTCCAGCCCAGGGGAAAGTTCCCTTCTTACAGACCTGAAGTTTCTCTTTAGCAGGTTTCCTAAGTGCCCCTCCAGTGTGAGTGCTCTGTTAGGAAGTGTGCTGTGTAAACAAGATGGTTTTTCCGGCCTGGCCCTCCCTGGAGTAGAGGCCCTTGTGATGGGAGGCTCTACGGTATGGAGAGGAAGCCTGGTAGCCTACGTCCATATAAATGGTGCTGTCCATCTCTGCACTCTGACCTGGAGGCAGAGATCCACCTGGGCTCTGTTTGTTTGGGTGAGTTTAGCCCCATCCCCGAGGGCTTCCCCAGGACATGGGCTGCAGGCAGTGAGAACCAGCCCAGCAGTCACAGGCTTAACTAAGGGCCAGACTGGGAAGGAGGGGGCCTCCCCATGCACTAGTGGGAGTTGTTTCACAGAATCATAACTATGGGTGCGGAAGATGGGCTTGCAAATATCTTCATACGTTGCTGTGCTCCTTGGCCAGGCCCTTTCCCAACAGGGACTAGGCAGGGCCTGCCAGCGGGCAGAGAACAGCCCGTCAAGGAGAAGGGGACACCCCAGCAGGGGCGAGGGGAAAAGTGGGTGACCACCTTGGGGTGGCCAAGCTGTGGGCCCTGGTCATCTTAGTTCATCCTCAGGGACATGAATCCTTAGAGAGTAGTTGAGGGTGTGAGGGACAGAGTGAGTGAGTGACCACATCCTTCCTCCCAACAACCTATCAAGGACAAATCATATTGTCTCAAGAGCACAGAAGGGGCTGGCCCGGTGGCGTAGTGGTTAAGTACGAGTGCTCTTCTGCTGGTGACCCGGGTTCGGATCCCGGTGCGCACCGATGCACCGCTTGTCAGGCCATGCTGTGGTGGCGTCCCATATAAAGTGGAAGAAGATGGGCATGGATGTGAGTCCAGGGCCAGTCTTCCTCAGCAAAAAGAGAAGGATTGGCAGATGTTAGCTCAGGGCTGATCTTCCTCACAAAAAAAAATAAAAGAGCACAGAAGTTTCAGCTGAAGTCAAGAGAGGTGAAGTGAGTTCCCCACGTCACACAGAGAGGTATGAACAGAGACTCTGTTAGAACCTGGGTCCTCTGACTCTCCAGAGTTCTTTCCTCTACTCCTCCCCTGCCCAGGTGCTATACCACCTCAAGCCAGAGTGATGGGGAGTGAGACCATGTTAGATACCAGATGATGCTGGGAGTTTCCAGAAATAGTTTGGGTCTTCCCGGAGCTCCTCTCTGTCCCTGCCCTCCTGGCCCTCAGGATCTGCCATACGCCTGAGTCTTGACAACGTACAGCTAGGGGAGACCTTGGCAAATGCTTCAGATGGGCCAACGGCCCTTCCTTTCTGTAGGAGGAGCAGCTGGGGCAGGAGCCATGCTGCTGTGCTATTTGGCCCTCACCCTCATATTGCTGGCAGTTTCTGGCATCAAGTGTGATGTGAAGGAAGTTTGTGCTGGAAGCCCTGGCATTCCTGGAACTCCGGGATCCCATGGCCTGCCTGGCCGGGATGGGCGAGATGGTATCAAAGGAGACCCTGGACCTCCAGGTACTGGATAAGGGTCAGTGATCTTTCAGAAGGCCTGTCTCTGCAGGGCTCTGGGCTGGGTCCAAGGGTCAGCTAGATGGTGGGATGTGGTGGAAGTTTCTTGGGGCCCTTAGACTGGAGCAGCCCTGGAGGGTCCTTCCTCAAAGTACCCATGGAGTGAGGGGTAAGTCAGCCTGGCTGATCATGGAGGTCCAGTCATATCAGCTCCAACTCAGTTGTGGGTGATAGGTACCATACATCCATGTCCCCCTCTCTCTGCAGGCCCCATGGGCCCCCCTGGAGGAATGCCAGGCCCCCCTGGCCGTGATGGGCCAATTGGAGCCCCTGGTGCCGCTGGAGAGCGTGGAGACAAGGGAGAGCCTGGCGAGAGGGGCCCTCCAGGTGAGCAGGGTGGGGCAAGTGGGCAGTGGCAGCATGGGCACAGTGCCTGTGGAGGCCCCCAAAGGGCATATTGCTCAACCTAAATAAGAGCATATGAGGTTGAGGAGAGACATCTGGATCTGGGTAGGAGGCCACAAGGCAGGGACTGACAGGTGTTAGAAGTGCTCCATGCATCACAACTGCTGATGGGGAGACACAGGGTGTCAGGTGTGGCAAATGGGACAGCACTGGGAGGCAGGGGAGGCACTTCCTAGGGTTAAGGCACTGGGGGCATTCTGAGGAGTGTGGGGTTATACAGACCAAGGACCCAGGCAGATGGTATGATTGGGAGCCCCCTCCCCCCCACAGAGGGGAACCCTGAAGTTCTGAGTAGTAATCAAGATCCATCAGGAGAGTGTAGATGGAACCACGTTTGCCCTTGGTGGAGGGTGGCAGAGGGGGCCCTGCCCATAAATCACACAAGCCCACACAAGCCCACACAAGTGGGCAGACAGAGCCATTAAAGGATGTGGCAGGAAAGAAGAGCAGGGAGGGGGCTCAGCAAGTGCAGGGCTGCATTAAAGGACAAGTGTGTCTGAGTGTCACGGACCCCTATAACTTGGGGCCTGGGCAGTGGGCATGGACAGGCTGGCAGCTGGCATAACACCTGCTTGGCAGCAAGGGTCTTTGTTGGCTTGCCCTTCATCCTGGGTGGGGGTCTGTCTACAGGACTTCCAGCTTATCTAGATGAGGAGCTCCAAACCACACTCCACGACTTCAGACATCAGATCCTGCAGTTGATGGGCGGTAAGGGAACCCCTTGAGGCCTTATAGGGTAGGGGGTCTGCCATAAGTTCCCCTCATCCTCAGCACCAGGCTCCAGAACTGCTTGATAAACAGTTGTGGACATGCAGGTTTTGGGGAAAAGAATGATGCTTCGTATTTCTGATGTTCTGGAACGGCCCAGAGGAGGCAGAAGTAGACATGGATTAGCTCGCTGTGTCCTGGGGAAGAAAGTTCTCTGCCTATCATGTTTTCTATTGAATATCAGGAAATTGCACAGTTTCTGGCACATAATAGACAGGCAATAAGTAATTGTTCAATGGATAAATGAATGAATGAGTGAATAGAATGGTGAGAGCATAGAGGGGAATTTAGAAAGACTAGGTTTGGAAGAGGGAGGGAAGACAGAGAGAGAGGCAGAGATGAAGAGATTGGAGAAAGCATAAAGTAGAGAGCCCAAGTGAGGGAAAAGGACTCAGAGACAAAGAAGTCAGTGGCCTGACCCGGATTCCTGTGCTCTCAGTCCTCAGTCTGCAGGGGTCCATGCTGGCAGTGGGAGAGAAGGTCTTCTCCACCAGTGGGCAGTCGGTTGATTTTGATGCCATCAGAGAGTCATGTGCCAGAGTTGGCGGCCGCATTGCTGTCCCGAGGAATCCAGAGGAGAATGAGGCCATTGCAAGCATTGTGAAGAAGCACAATACTTATGCCTACCTGGGCCTGGAAGAGGGCCCCACCCCTGGAGACTTCTACTACTTGGATGGGGCTCCTGTGAATTACACCAACTGGTACTCAGGGGAACCCAGGGGTCGTGGCAAAGAGAAGTGTGTGGAGATGTACACAGATGGGCAGTGGAATGACAAGAGCTGCCTGCAGTACCGACTGGCCATCTGCGAGTTTTGAGCAGGCACTGAGGCCACAGGATAGATAGGGTCCTGCCTTGCCTTTCAGCCTCCATCCTGAGGATCCACCTTATCTATGAGATGCTGTAACTCCTTTTCAACAAAATTTTTTTGTGGCTATTAGAGTTGGAGGCATTCTTAGCCACTCCACTCCCCGGGTGGGCCCTGACTCCTCCCACATGATCACTAATCAGTCTGACACTCCCCTGGGGCCCTTTCTCAGCACTGCACTCTAGGCAGCCACTCTAGCTTTGCCCTTTGGCGAGAGATGGATACTTCCTTCTTATTCTTCTTGTCCAATTCCTTCATTTATAGATGGCAACATGAGGTCCTGGGATGGAAGGACCCTCCACACACACAGAGGGTGCCTGCTTCCAGGCTCCCTCTACTCTTTCTCTGCAGCCTACCACCTGCTCAGCCTCAAGATTTAGCAATTCTGATCAAGCATAATGATAGAGACAGGCATACTTCTGGGAAATTCCAAATGTGTGGACGTAAGGCCACATTTGGGATTATCTGGCAGCCTGGGGCCTCTGGGAGCACACCTGGTCATTCTCTCCATGTGGTCAGAAGGCCAGGTGGTGCTCCAGCATGGTGGAGGCCAACCCAACCCTAGTGATTGTCATGTATTATCCAATTCCTCGAGTCTTGGGGTACCAACTCAACTCCCTGACATAAAAGCAGCCAGCCTACATCTCCAGGGAAGATCTCGCCCACCACCCCAGACATAACCCAAGAAACTTCCTGCTGTTGGACAAATCTCCACACCACTCACCATACTACTGACTATTGAGCACATACTACATGCTAAGCACCTTGACAAGCACTTCCAATACATCTTATAAAATATTATTTAATTTTTACACAATGCCATGGGACCAGCATTATTTCCCCCATTTTCTATATGAGGATACTGAAACTTAAGAGATGTTAAATGTTTTGAGTTTTATTACATGGAGCACATGGCAGAGGCTAGATTCAAATCCATCCACCTGGACCTGAAGCTCATGCTCATAACCACCCCACCCTCTCGCTGAACAGAGATGATTTAAGTGTAATAAATCATGAATATGTTAACATAAATCATTGTTTTGGTTCTAAGATACATCACATTTCTGTATTGTTGTAAATCAAATTAACTCTGGCTCTGAGCCCCCACTTACCTGAAAAATGGAAAATTCAATCTCAGATTATGCTTTCTTTGTTGGGTGGGAGGGGCAAACTTGTCTCCACCCTGAGTTTGTATGGGCACATGGAGAACTACAGAAAACATCTGAAAGAACATATGGGCATCTGTGTTGGTGGCTGGCATTAAGATAACTCCTGCTCTAAGTCCATATGGTCCATTTGTGGATGGTGAGTCTTGCCTTCCGTTCCCCACTCAGCCACGTGGATGTTTTCTGTAGCCTGAAGGTGGAGGTGTTCAGGGCTATGTCCTAGACCTCTGTGAGCCACCTCAGTCTCAGGTCTGTGTGGAAAGGGACCATGGCCCCACACCCCAGAGCTGTGTGGGAATCAGACCATGTCCCTGCTTTCTTGAGGAGACAACCACATATATGTCCCATCTCCAGAAGAGTCCCTACTTCTCCCACCTTCACATCTTCAAACATTTTCCCCCATCGCATATACTTCTTTTCCTGGGCAAGAAGAATCACTGGATCAAAACCCACAAAACCAGATAGGAATGAGCAGAAATATTTCTCATTCTTTCATGAATGTTAATTTTTAATCTGGTCACCCTGCCACATGTGCTTAGAGCACAGCACACAAATTAGTGAGTCTTCCCCCAAACTCAAAAAAGCAAGAAGGAGAAGCATATTTTCCATATTTTATAGATGAACAGTCCAAGCCTCTGAAAACTGATGTCTTCTCATTTCTTGTTAGGTTTATTTTTACTTAGTTTATGGTATTATTTGCTATTGTTACTATATTATTTTTATCACATTTTAAATTAATTATTGCTAGCTTATAAGAAACTATTGGTTTATTTTTTGTTGATCTTATATCTAACCATCTTTTGGGATTCTCATTTTCCCCCTAATTTTTCTAATATAATTGATTCTCTTATATTTTATAAATATATAATTTTATTTACAAATGACAGAAGTGTTGCCTGTTCCTTATGATATTTATATTTATTATATGTCATTATTATCTTTTTAGAGGAGCTAAGAGCCCCTATATATTGTTGGAGACACTCAATGATAAATGATATTTCTTTTGAGGCACTGAATGTATAATGGGAACACTTCCAAGATTTCACCATGGAAAATATTGCTTGTTTTAGGTTTCTGATGGATACATTTTATCAAGGCAAAGAAGTTCCTTCTGTTTTTGTGGTTTGCTGAGATTCATTTTCTCATGAATATTTTTTGAGGGCATTTCCTTTGTTCTGTTAACATCACAGGCTGTCAGTGTGAATTATTTCCGATTCCTGGGAGCTAGCCTCTAGAGCCGTCAGGTGAGACTAAGAGGCTCTAAGTGCCTCATCTGTTAGGGTTGAAGGAAAGCCCCAGGGATCCCACCATGGAAATTGCAAGGAGGGGCTGTTCAGCATGAATGGCTTAGTAATTCCCATTTCCTTAGCTAGTATAAAGAAGACTAAAGAAGGGAAAGGAGGCTGACCCACGTTGGGTGACATTTGTACTCTCATAGTGAAAATTATCTCTTCCTCTCCTCTCCCTGTGTAGTGCGGGAGGGGACTGTCCTCCTCCTAATCCTTGCAAGTAGGAATGCCCAAATTACTTCACCTTCTCTGATTAACTCACCTAAGGCAGGAATTGGGGATTCTCTCCTGTTCAAAAATTGCCGTGGCCGGCATGGTGGCGTAGTGGTTAAGTTTGTGCGCTCCACTTCGGTGGCCTGGGGTTCACAAGTTTGAATCCCGGGCGGGGACCAATGCACTGGTCATCAAGCCATGTGTGGCAGCGTCCCATATACAAAATAGAGGAAGATGAGCACAGATGTTAGCTCAAAGCCAATCTTCCTCACACACAAAAAAAATTGCTGAAGTACTGAACCAACAAAAGTCCTGATCACGCTGAGGCATGGGGAGATGGAGGAGGGGGAAAATAGAACTGTGAACAGGAGTGTTCTGGGGCAATGTGGATTTCCACCACTTGGATGGAGTTTCCCAGGGGCTGTGTGAATGTCAATGTCATGGAAGCTAGCTAGGTTTTAAACCTACTCATGAGCAGGTTGCTGCTTGGAACATAAGGATTCGAAGAACAAGAGACTAAGAATTGAAATGTCCACTGATATGATGTTGAGGGTAGGGAGCATGCAGCTGGAGGCTCTTACAGAGTTCCTGAGAGGAGCTGTCATTTGTAATTGGTCATACAAAGGGACCCAACAACCAGTTAGGATGGGATGAGAAGCAGCAGAGTCCCCATTGACACATGGTTCTTCCTGTGAACAGGTATTTCACCCTTAGCACCATCATTCTCTTTATCCCCTCTCCCCTCTCACAGAAAGAAATAAGAGATAAGGCCACTGCCCACCCTTCACTTCAAGAACCCACCGCTCTATGACCAGGGTGGTGACGAATCAGAGATGAAACTGAGCTTGTAATGACAAAACTGGAGGAGAGTAATAATTTGTTTGGACTATGTTTTAAATAAACCCTAGAAAGTTTGCATTGCAGGGGTCTGGGAAGAATATGTATGAAGAATTTTGAGACCATGTTTAGTTTTGAGAACAAGGTGAGCTTCAAGCTTCAGGATTGTACCTATCTGCATTAAGACTCTTAAATTTGTTACACATTAAATTAATAAGTCACAGGAATTCAATTTTTGATGTTGAACCATCCTTGCGTTCCTGGGATACACCCTGTTTGGTCTAATGGCGGATACTTTCATCACACTTACTATGTGCCAGGCACTATACTTGTATTAACCCATGTAGTCCTCATTAACCGTATTAGGTAGATGCTATTATTATCCCCCATTTACAAATAAAAATATTGAGGCACATAGAGGTTAAAGTGTTTTGCCAAAGATCGTGCAGACAGTTCATGGTAGATCTGGACTATGAATACAGGAAGTCAGATTCCAGAGACTGTGCTGTTAACCACGAACGCATGGTTGGACTTTAATAGCTATTTTTCACTTCAGGCTTGCAGCTGGGTTTATGTCTGCTCCACATCATTTCATTATTCTGATATAAGTGGCTACCAGGGACATATTCTTCCCCATGATTGGGAAAAACAAGAAGAGGCCAGGTTAAACCTGCAAGCACATTTAAAGCTACTGCTCCCTTCTTGTCTGCTCATAGTCACATGGCCAAGCGAAATATCAAAGGGGCTGGGGTGTTTACTCTACATATTCTAGTGGGAGGCTCTGCAAAGTACCATGGCAAAGGGCATGGATATATAATTCTCTGATAAGAAGAAGTGAAAAATCAGGAACAATAATCCAAACTCCTATGGTCATATTTGTCAAATTTATTATTTTGTTTTGCAAAGAACCAGTTATAATTTATATTATTATTAGCTCTCTAGTTGTTTCCTTATTCACTAATTTTATTATTTAATTTTTAGTTATTTCTCATTTATTATTCCTTATTTATACTGTCTTTTTAAAAATATCAATTTATCTGTTGCATAGAGTCGACTGTCCTTGGCGGACTATTTTTGAGGCTTGTTATATCAGTCAGCTTTCACTCTGCTTATTTCCTACTGTGTTTGGTAATTTTTACAGAGTGAACTCAAATTTACCGGATTTCCATCTGAGAAAATCCTGAGGAGCCCGAGTGAAGGGTAAGGTCCTCCATTGCTTTTACGTCCCCATGGTGCACAAGGTTCTGAGGAGCTGGGACACTTGAAAAACAATTTTTCATCTTGGCATAAATAGCAAAATTTGATAATAATAATCATAGCAAGATAATAATAATAACATACGTTCAAGCCTGAGATCTATGAGAGGACAGACTTACGGGTATGCATCCTTAAGGGAGTATTTTTTCCCCACCAGTCAAAGCTTTCTTACTGTCCCTTTGCTCACAGTGCACATCTCTCCCTCCTCCTGCCTTATCCTCTCCCCTCCTTCCCAAGCCACCCTTCCTCTAAGTCTGTAGCACATATAGAATCCTGGCTTTATGTAATCTCTCAGTTTCAAATTTCCACCTTTCTGGGAAGCCTGTCCATTTACTGTATGGGTTGAATATTCCTTGTCCTCTGAGCCTATGGGCCCTTCAAAATTGTGTCAATGGCATCAGGAAACACAGCCCTGAGAGGGGTCTTCTTTGCAATGGGCCCCCTCTTAGTGCCTGGCAGGCTCCTCTACAACAGGAACGTGGGAGGACTGCTAAACAGGGCATGGGCATCCATACACATGGGGTGATGACCCTTGAAAAACCAAAACGCCAATCACCAGGCAGAGTCCAAGAGAAGTGGCCTGGCTCCCTGCTCCCCACCAGGGATAAAGCAAACCTCTCGAGTTGTTTGGTAAGGCTTAATGTTTCAAAGAGTGAAAAGTTTGGAATCAAAGGTCATGTCAGGGACTTGAAAACGGCCACTCAATCAGGCTCTGGACTCTCCTGGAAACCCAGGCGTGGAGGAGCCATGGACTGGTCTGGTATCTGCCCCTGCTCATGGTCTCTTTTCTCTCCTCCTCTCTCAATGGACCCTTCCTGTGTGCCCAGCCCCGGGCTACACCCTAGAGACAAGGAGGTGAATCAAACACAGCTCCTGTCCTAGAAAAGCAAAAACATGGAGAAAGTGGACGCTGATGACAGCTCTAGCTGGAGAGAGGTCAAGAGGGCTGCTTTGAGGGCATGATACTGGAGGATTCATTCGTTCTGTAAATGTTTATTGACCATTGACTCTGTTTCCAGGCACTCTTCTAGGTGGGGCTACAACAGCCGCGAACAAGACCCCTTTTCTGATGAAGTTCCTGTTCTACAGGAGTGGGGGGTGTGTCAATAAATATGCAACCGAACAGATAAGACAATTTTACACAGAGATAAGTTATAGGCAGAGAATTGAAACGAGGATTACAATTTCATGATAGAGTGGCTACTTAAAATTAAATTAGGTTAGGGAAAGCCCTTTCTCCAGAGATAATATTTAAGCTGAAATCTGAATG